AAAAAGGATAACCACATCACGACAGCAAAATAAATGATCATAAACGTGAGGCAGCGCCAACTAATGGCTTTAAAACTTTAGCGTCCTACATTTCCCCGTATTAGGAATACTATAACGCAGCATGACTAAGGAGTATTAGTAGTAACACCAGTATAAATACGTATACATTATAGGTAGTCCTTTTCATACTTACAACGTCATACGATCGTTAAAAAACAGCGAATGTTTTTCTCGTGCGAATTTAGAGGCCTAGCAAGGTAAGGTAAATACGAGGGGTTCGCGATGTGTGGTCGACCTTGTCGTATCGCATTCGTATGAATTCGGACCTTGTCAACGGCTTCCCTATTCATGAGCCGTCGCTCATTAGCGTGCACAGTGAAATGATGAATGGATACGCTTACAACGCTCACGTTTGTCAGTTTGTCTTGAAGCTAACGTCTTTGAAGCGTTGGTATGAGATAAGAGATCGGAGACATGGGCATGTTTTATAGCACCTAAGTAAATCATACAAGAGCTTTAAACCAATTAAAAATCTACAGAATATCACGCGGATGAGACGCGAAAACATCTGCTGAGAGCGTTAAAAAGAAAGCACGTATGCAGTATACATAAAACAAACTTTCTCGCATGCACAAAAATGTGAAGAACAGTGCAGTAGTAATTGAAAACAGCGATAACGACTAAAACTAGGCTCGATCGTTACTGCAATTGGATGCAGTCGTGGCTTGTGGCGCTCTTTGAACAACTTTTAATTAATTTGTAGTTTTTCAGTACCATAAAATTTTACTAGGCACTAGGCAGCCACGAAACAAGGCAGGGCTGACGCGCACGAAGCCATACACTGGCAAATACCTAGGATGACAAGATAAGACTTGGATTGCGGTAAAATGCTCGATTGGCGTTATCGATTTATCTGCGAGAATCTGGTTGAAGAAATTTGCAAAACTATAAAGTTTCAATAAGTAATCTTCCCGAAGCAAACTTATCACAGTGCTGAAGAGAAATGAGTTTTCATCAGATTTACAATACAATCTCGAATAATCTAAATCTCGAATACCCACATAAATGTCTATTATGTCTATTGAAATCAATTTCATTGAATTACTTTTGCATTTTCAGCTAGACTAGACTCATCTGGTGGTGCAGCCGTCCGCGTTCTCAATAACGTAGAGTGAAAAGCCAGCCATGCGGGAAATCAAATGCGACGGGAACGCACATCTGCATCCAACTAACTTTTAAATATTTTCGTCGTGTTTCCGCGGATATTGAAATTTTTAGAACACAACCTGAATATTTAATATATTTTCAACGAAACTCCTAATTTCCCGACGATTTCCTTTGTTGCTTCGAAAATCAATCTAAAAACGTTTAGAACAAAAGGTTAAGGGCCGAAAGGTAAGTCATCTTACCTCGAGCACCAAAGAATTTCAGGCGGATACTTCATAATGAATATTTATTATGAGCCGTCGGATACGCTATCATATTTTCCAATCAAGCATGAGGACTGAAAGCCCACGCAGTCTATTATAGGACGTATATTGAGTTTCCAGTAGATGAGGTACTCGCGAACCGTAATGGTATGTGTAACCCAATATAATTCTGTGCAAAATGTGTATCGATCGAGTGCGAGATGTCAGGGGTGGGTGGGGTTGCAGCGGCCGAACTGGCACGTGGAGCGCCCGGCACCTACGCTTAGATCGGACTTTTAAACTTCAATAAATCTGTAGTACGTTATACGTTATACATGAGTTAGTATAGTGTGCACTCCATTTAGTTTTGTGCCTGTCTAATCCATGTTTATAGGTTTCTGTCGTCGATTTTTCGCATTGTAGTAGCGAAGATTTAGTCGCATTTATTTTTAGAACGCACGATGGAATTGAATAAATCATTACATTTCTACACATTGAATGATAGTCTCTCTAGATCCAGGACGCTGTTACAATTTGCATATCTAAAAGGTCCCATCGCGCGAACTACACACATGTAAATCGTTATTGGATCTCACTCAATCTCAAGCATTTGCATGAAAATCACGCTACCTAGTAGAATTTACATCAGAATTGCGTATTCAGAGCCTAAGCTATTATGACGTGGAATAGGTATTCTGTCAAATAAAACGCGTAATCGAGGAATGTACGTGTGGGACGCGGTTGGAATATCTTTAGTAGAAAAGTATGAATTTTAGACACTGACATTGAATGAGATAATTTCTCTTTCTAAGACGCAAAAAGAGTTGGTATATGAGGATTTATGGCTCAATTTTCGAGAACTCATAATAATATCTATACTTTTAGCCACAATTAAACGGAGAATGGATAATAATTTACAGCAATATCTGGAGATTTGCAAGTGATATTACATCGGAACAGTATTTTGTACTTATGGTTCAGAAGCGGAAATTGACAGCAGATACGATCAAGTCAAAGTTTATCGAAAGACCATGAGAGTATAAACAGGAAAACGACAGGGCACGTTTGTATCATGCATGACATAAGGAGTGACACGATAGTATTTATTGTTTTATTTTTATGAGAGGCGGTTCGCCGAAGCGATGGCATGTAAATAAACATAGCTTGAGGGGATGACATAGGTGATCATTGGATGGGAAAAACATCTTGTAAAAACTATTTCTCAGGACACAGAATCAAGCGAACGTTATTTCACAAATTTTCTAAGGCATATTTGGATACTGTCGCCCTCATTAATTCACCACCAGTAATTATACTGATAACAAAACTGTCAGTTTTGAAATTCCGTCAAGTGTAATGACAAGGCGATAATGTGGCAATTAAAATAGCTGGTATTGATAAAGATGTCATGGATGCAACTAACGTGCATCGCTGGAAGCATTTCCGATCGATATTCACGAGACATAGGCAGCAGACACTGAATTGTAGAAAGTAGGTGGGTACACATCACCTGTAGACGTTGTCGAGTCACGTCCAAGGAGCTAGGTTCGTAATTGATAAGAAATAAAGGCTGGGAGGATATTGCAACGATGGCAGGCTGATTATTCCAGTGCAAGGTATTATAGATTCTGTCAATGTCACTTCTTCATGGATTAATTACAGTCTTATTCATGCTGTCATATATTTTATAATCACCCCTAAAATGTTGTGTCTTTGTGAAAGAAGAAGAAAGTTAAATTCTCAGTCATTATTAACTATTTTATGAACTGAATCATTCTAAAGAGAACATTAAAAATTAAATATTCTAACAGATGTAATTACAATACATTATTTAGGCTTCCCAAAGACCTTCTGATTAGGTAAAAATTGATATTAATATTACTAAATACAAATAGGTAAGAAAAAATGTACACAAGTCAATCATTTTTATACAACTCAACTTGAAAGACAATGAATATTATATGACTTTTTCTACTGCATTACGAACACAATAATATATGTGACATAAACTAAGTACAGAACCTATGAAGACAAATAAAAAATATGATACACTTACAAGTTGAATGTTACAATAACAATAGTTTGCAATCAGTAATTTCACTCAGCATGTTATTTGTAGCATTTACTACTGGCTAAGTTAATTAACTTATTGATAACCACACTGATAACAATTAATATTCATTATCATATTGCCACTTTGCCTACTTGCTTGATATAGCTCAAAAATAACTACTTTTGATATATTTTAGTGCTTGGGTTACTTTTTATCTGAATACCCTGTTTCTAAATTCCATTGATATTATATACTTAAACTGTCAAACACCAAGCGGTCACCGGTGACCGCAACCTATTGTTCTATAATTGTGTCTATAATGACGGTACTCAACGAGTTAATAGAATAAATGTTACATGTTTTAATCTGTTAAAAAGTCTAAGTCAAAGCATTTATTTCAATTAAACCATAATTTTGTACTTTGAAAATGTCAACAAATACATACAAAATAAATAATAGTCTGTCAGTGAAGCTAGGTGAAGCTAGGTGCTCATTCCAAAATGTAGATTCAAATGGAGAAGATTGAGCAAGAAAGTTCATTTGTTACTCTTTTTAAAAAGTATGTTCTACAATGTCTCTGATACATATTCCAGTACTGTATAAAAAGCTATACTCCTCAATCTTAATTATTTCTTTAGGATGTGATTTTATATCTGGTGAATAGTAATAGTTACATATTTTAAAAACCATATGCACTATACAACTTCTCGGGGAACAAATCGAGTTATATTTCTTTTCTGTTATTTAAACTGTCAAATACCAAGCGGTCACCGGTGACCGCAACCTATTGTTCTATAATTGTGTCTGCAAAACCGGTACTCGACGAGTTAAATATGGTTATCCTCACAGAGTGAATGTAAAAACTGGCTGATAAGAATTTATGAAATACTGATTCCAAGTTTGAAATATTGCAAGTCATGGCTAGATCAATAATTTTGAGTGAACATTTTTACAATCAATCCATTATAAATGTGTGTATAAGATAACATTGTAGTATGTGGCTTGATTGTACGGATTATAATGGCTCAAAGTAAGAATTTAAAAACTGAATTGTAGATATTATTTTGTGCTATCAATTTATAATTACTTAATTGCCTATAATGTTTTAAAAAATAAATGCCTTCTTCGTTTATTTGTATTATACTGGTATTGTTGAAACTGCATTGCAACTTACAAGTCCCAATAAGAAAATCTTACAATTTCTTTATACATTATTTATACATTAAAACTTCAGCTGGGTATTAATAGTATTGCATTAGAATTGTTCTTATTGTAGAACAGGTTTTGATGACATTTTGTCAAACTACTCAAATTACTATTATGAAATGGTTATAAAAAAATAAAACAGAACGTAGTTCACCAGCCACTCAGTAAAAATTGTTGTTTTGAAGATTATTGCTCTTTAGATGCCAAACATAAGGATAGATAGTTACAATTTTGGTTATTAGCGAAACTGTATTTAAATTTTAGATTTATTGCTTAGTCCACGCGGGTCACTTGCGGGTTATAAAATAAGTAAGAAATATAATATCACTCACCTTTATATCTTGCTAAAGTCATATAAAACGGTAACGCCCCAATGGACGAGAGCTGACGAACGGGATCAATTGTTGATACTGGCTTCCAGGAAGCTGGCTTCAGATGAACTGCCTCGCACACGCCGGGCGCACTACCTGCCGCAATCAGTAACACCACAATCAGCTAAAAATACACACACACTATCCCAACGCAACATTTCCAACTATCCTAACCAATCTCTACTGCAGCAATGTACGCACCAGCTGGCGAAAACGTGGTGACCACGGTCCGCGATACCTACTGTACTATACTATACTATACGTAAATATGGACTAAGATATTCGATATTACGTCGCTAGCTACCTTCCACTGTCTATGACGAAGCACCTCGCTATTCCACCCTCGGCGTGCACTTGGAACGCGTATTATAGCAAGGATCACAATCGACTACAGACGAACATAAAATAAATGAGATTTCATCAAACGCAACACGTTTCCGTGTCTAAATATGACGACAGAAAATAAATGAAAATTGTACACTTTCTTATGTTTCTTGAACTGCCTTCACACCGGAAACAAGCATTTTTTTTAAACTTGAAACAACGATGATCTCATAATTTAGAATGTACGATTTAATGCTGGAAAAATATTTCATTTCTAGTTCTTTGGGTGTTTATTAGTAACAGAAAATTTTATACTTGATTATTTACAATAAACAAGCGAAAATAAATCACTCCGAAATAAAATTGGCAACAGGAAGTACGAAATCTTTTAAATATCAACATTATCTATGCTCATCGAAAGCTAGTTTTCAATTTCATTTAAAATAATAGTGTTATATTATAGTAAATATAATCTTGTAAATTGCGTTGATTTATTGGATATTAACTTATTAATTGAACATTAACTTTACATATTAATTTTTACTTTTTTCAGGGAAGCCAAAATTTTCATTTTATTCCTTTAATTTTTCACTTATTGTTGAAAATAGAAATACTGTTTTGTAGCGCTCCAAACAAAATTTTCATTTGTCCTAATAGTATTGTAATTTTGTGATTAGTCAATAATCAAATGACAACTGAAGGTATAGACAACGATTCTTCTTGTTCCCGAAGCAAAAACAAACTTCAAGTCCTTTTGACAGAAGATTACACGGATTATGAATAAGTTTTCGTCGATGTTATAAAATTCGACTTTTCTTTTACATATCAGGATTTTCAATAGAATAATAAAGTAAAAAAACAGTTATCCCTTAGATTCCGTGCGATTTACTGGGTGTTAAAAAAAATGGTGAGGTCCATCTACTGAATTTTAGGTTAGGTTATGTTCAACGTCCTTGATGCATGATTCTATTTTCAATATTTTTTTTATTTTTTAGCATGCATGTCGACAGTTATTATACAGCCCAGCACGGTGGAAATCTGCTATTCCAATTAATTTGAAACAGACGATATACTTCAACAGACCAGATCAGGTATAGTAAATGATTAATTTTTCTCATTAAAATGACGAAATTATTGTATTTTAGTCGACAGAATAATCTATCGTTTTAACCATAATTTCTCGAAAATTTTCCATCAAAAAATTTATATCAATAAAAATTCAGCAATTGTTTAAGTCAGAAAATAGTGGTATTTGTATGTTAATTTAAAATTGTTAACTTGCCTTCACAAGTTCTAACTAGAATCTTATTTAACAACATGTAGGTAAATACAAGATAAATTCAATAAGAAACCTAGCAAACAATACAAGCTAGCTTACACAGTTTTTGCTTACTGTTCCAGTACATCGTGAGAGAATGTCGGCACTACTCGGCACGCAAGGGCTTCTTCTCATCCATCATCGAGAACATCAAGGACGAGATGGCCAAGAACAAAGAGATGAAGGACAACATCAAGAAGTTCAGGGAAGAGGCACAGAAACTAGAGAACTCAGAAGCATTACTGGTTTGTTACATAAGACTTTAGATATAAGAGATGGAGATGATTATTATATTAGTAAGAAGGAATTGTGTGTGTTTGGCAAAGGGTAAAAATTTAAAGTGGATGGATGTACTGCTATGGAAATAATTATCTTAAACTTGGGCCAATGGCTGAATAGTACTGTGTATCATCTTATAACACTTGCCAAATTATACATACAAATAGAAACCAAAGTCTTAACTAACTATTTGAACTTTGAACTTTGCATTTATATTTATGTTGCTTACCTCTTTAAACTTATTGTTTCTTTTTAACTAAAGTAAATGAGTTGACCATAATCAATTTTAAAATCATTACAATATTGTATCAAACATGACATAGATCCAAATTGTTTTTTTTTTAATCTTTATTTTGTAGGACAACTTGTATGTATGTAGTACTTGTGATATGTATTTTAGATATAGGTAGCATCTCTCTTAACATCAGTCATACCTATATTCTAGGCTGCCAGAAGGAAATTCCATGCGGTTGAATCGGAAGCTTCCAAGAGTTCAGAAGTACTGAAGGAAACATTTGAGGGAATCAAGGGCAAGATGGAGCATGTCATTGAAGAAGCTAGTAAAACTGAGATCGCCAAGAAAGCTGGTGAGAATATTGCACAGTGTAATTTTATGTCTATAATCATCATATTATGAGCCATAGCATAATAAATGTTTACTGCTGAACATAGACTAGAAGTTCCCCCAATGAGTTCCAGATATTATGATTGGAAAAATTACAATTTTATTATTTTAGAAAATGACTACCAATTTCTTCAAAATCTATTTACCTGTCGCTAGGACTCTGACTGGCCATCTAGTAACTATATATAAATAAAACAACTTTCTGTTACAGGACAGATAAAGGAAGATTTATCAAAGACAGCGAAAGGCGCCGCTGAAAGCATAGCTGACACGGGTTCCAAACTGGGTCAGACATCTGCTTTCAGAACTATTTCACATGTAAGCATTACAATGTTACAAGTATTATATAATAATACCATGTGCTCTCAAGTCCTGCTTATCTTATCACTTTTGTACATTCAGAATTACATGAATGAAATTATCTATTCAAATAATTTTTACATTTATTTTTTACTACTAG